AAGAAGTGCTGTAGGTAGATGGTGGTGATGGTTGACAACGTGAATGTGCTCACTTAACACTGGTTAAGATGGTAAATTATATGTTATATACATTTTATCACAATGCAGATTTCTTTTTTAAGTGCTACGTAATGACTACCTTCTGCGTGAAAACACAATCTACCTTAACCAGAATTGAGCCTCTCCACATGCCTACATATAGAAATGGCTGAGTCCTGAATAATTTCAAATCCCGCGTGAATTCTTGATGTCATCAACTTACCAGGTGGTTGTGGTGGCACTCTGGGGTCAGGAGGAGAGAGCATGCATGGGGTGGGTGGCATCTGTATTTGAACGTCGTAAGGCTGTTCAAGGTGGAGCTGCCACCAACTGAGATAACATCTGTGCCTGTGAAATGCTTCCAGTTCTCACTGTGCTTGTTACTTTGCCCCCATTAGATTTGTGCCCTTGAGGGAGGAAAATGAGGTCCTTCCCCCGGGGTTGATAGAATGGCCTCCCAAAAGCACTTTACTCAGCTGTTAAAATAAATCTTTATCTGGAGCAGAAGAAAGTTCCTCCATAAAAAGGGAAGAAATCAAAGACAGATGGTAGGAAATTGCATTAAACTTTTATTGGTTGTATCTTGAAATGACTTTTGTAAGAAATAAAAGGTTAGAATGCTGAGTTGTACCGAGTGGGTTCCTTAAGCCAGTGTTTCTGGAAGCGCAGACGACCTGAGTGGGTGGGAGTCTCGTAAAAAGAATGCACAGTCCAGGCTCCCACATCCTGAATCAGGATTTAGGGGGTGGATGGAGCCTGGGAATTTGTATCATTGACAGACCCCTTGGTGATTTCTATTGACTGAGTGAAAACTAAGAGCCGAGGGCCAGCCCAGTGAACTCATTAGGAAGCCTGGGGCAAACACAGGGGCCATCTGGGTGGCCACCATTTGGTGGGAGAAGAGCCAGCGATGGTGCCAGGGCACGGAGGTGTAGGCACGGGGAGGAAGCCTCCATATTCCAGAACTCCTTGTCTGCCCCACCGTGGCAGCCTTCATCCTCTGTATTATAAGCACCTGGTTATGAATTTGTCTCCCTCCTGAGACTGGGAGTTCCTGAAGAGAAGGAATGGCCTGGTTTACTTCTCAGGAGAGGCTCAAGGAAGGCCCCTGATCCAGTGAATGGGGATCTGGTGAACTTCCGGGTTACTTAGGCATCAGGTTTACTTGCCAGAAACCTCTGTCTCTTAACCAGCCTTTTTGCTGGAGTGCAGAGATGATAATTTTTATTTTTTAAAATGCTTTTATTGATTTGAGAGAGAGAGGAAAGGAGAGGGAGAGAGAGAGATTGACAAGAAATGCCTCTCACTGGATATTGAGCCTACAACCCAAATATGTGCCCCGACCAGGAATCAAACTGGTGACCTTTTGGTGTGTGGGTTGACGCTCAACCACTGAACCACACCAGCTGGGTCAGAGATGGTAGTTTTGAGAAGGCAGATCCGTTTTAGAAGGAAAAAAGTGCTATCCTCCTGTGATGGAAGTGGTTCCATGTAGTCTACCTGCCATCAGCTAGTTCCCATCACTCACAGGATGGTGCCCCAGTGGGACTCAGCATCTGGCTGGGCACTCAGCAGAGGCCAGGCCAGGGTGAGTTGGAGCCCATGCTGCTGAGCTCGTGCATGGCCTCACCAGGCGATGGCAGAAGTGGCCGAGGAGAGAGCCTGACTGGGGTGTCCACAGAGAGGGTCATGCCATCAACTCGATGATTAAAATTCTCCTCTGCTCACGTAACCCTTTGGTGTGTGTTAGCATGGGGCACAGATAGTTTCACATTCTTTGCCCATTTAGAGAAATGGACACTATATCGCTCCCAGATTTGTTGTCACCAGTTTTCCAGGGATGCCCCTGACCATCCAGCCAGACCACTTTCCCGCAGCTCATGAGTGGGTAGAGACTTGTACCTGCGGCTGCTTCTTTTCCCAGGCAAAATGCACCATCAGGTGCGTTTCAAAGTACTGCCCACTGGGCACATTCCCTTCACCTGTCCTTCAGGAGTGTTTTACTTTTGTAGCATCCACTTCTGGGCTTTGAACCAGTTTGCACCGACTCTGAAGCCTCAAACGGCAGATCCTGCGATTACTGCTCGCTTTGTGTAATTGCAGAGTTTCTGCTTTTAACGCCCTTCTGAGAGGCCTAGCCCAACGCAGGAAGCTCTGCGCACCGGATACATCTTGTGCTTTGTGAGTGGAAAATGGTCCCCATTCCGGACCAGCTCTCAGTACTCGTGCTCATGGGATAGGTGTCCTGAGATTCAATTCTGCCTTCTTCTCCTGAAGGCTCTGCTGAGCCCTCCTTCTAGGCACGGCCCTCACCAGCATACCCCCCTGCAGTCATGCAGTGTAACTTCTACACTTCACTTCTCGAGCCCCACCGACCCTCACACGTGCCCCGCATCTCAGACGTATCCTCTAGGCTCAGAGACCAAACTCAGAGGTTACATAGACTGTATAGCTTCTCACACAGCAACAAATGGGTAGGATTAGCTTTTAGGCAGCTGCCTTCATTGAGCAGATGTTTCAGGAGCTCTTGTCATGTGCAGGACATGAGGATGCTGTGATGGACCATGTCCATGGACCACTGAGGACCAGTTCAGGAAGAACAGCCCACTTTTTTTTTTTTTTATATCGATAGCAGTGATACAGGTGAAAGTGAAGTGCACACAGTGGGGCCTCCCTTCCCACACCCCAAGCTCCTTTGACACAAGTGGGAGGTGGGAACCAGAAATTGCATCATACAGGCCTGGGTCCTAGGATTAGTGATGCTCCATCCTGACACCATGAATACTGGCTGGTGACGGGCACATTATTTTCCCCGAGTCACTCAAGCTGCTGCAGACAGCAGTCCTGTCTTAATGCCTAAGCAAGGTTAGTTGGTTTTTCACCTCCCATGCATTTAAAGAGGTATTTTCTAATCTATTACTGTTATCTAACTAACCCATTACAGTAGGTTCTCGGGTTACCTCAGAGATCCATTCCTACAGTGCGATGTAAAGCAATTTTGACCGTAAGACGGAACCCACCTACATAAGCATTTATGTCATTCACATGGAACACACACAGCAGTAATTAAGTGAACAGTAAAAAAAAAAAAAAAAAAATTAAAAGACCTTTACTTGTGGTAAATAAATAATAAAAAACATAAAGCACATATGTACATACATCGAAATGATGGAACTTTTTTTTTAATAAAGGGGAGATGGCGACGTAACCAGGAAACGACATACGTCGAGTCCGAGGTAACCGAGGACTGCCTGTACTAGTGTTTAGCAAGAGGCCATCCCTCCTTTTGATCTACACTCCCTGGTTCCTGAGATACAACTCATGATTGTCTGCATCTTGCACCCTCAAGATTTCTGGTCCCTTTGATACTCAGCTCTATTTAACATTCTGTTCCTTCTGTTTGTCATTTTACTGATTTTCTATGATTGTTTTTCAAATGCCATGGGGGGTTTTAGGTAAGTATATATTGCTGCTTAAAAAGTATTCAAGATGTAATAGTGATATATTGTTTTAGTTAAGCCACAGTGGTCGATCTATCAATCATCTATCTATCTTTCTGTCATCTATCTACCTACCTACCTATCTGTAATGGTTTAGCTTAAACACACACATTTGTACACAGACATAGACACACACACACTCACATAGACACACATATATTATGTTTAGAGTGCAATATATACACAGCCAGCCACAAACATCCTGTTCCCATGGAGACAGTTCTACGAGAGCTTAAAATCATTGCTTAATGTATATAGGTATCAAAAGACAAATTCATTCCTCAGGATCTTGGTCTTTCTCATTCATATACAATAATGAAACTTACATAACCCTCCAGTTTAAGAAATCCAGTGCTCTTACCAACTATAAAAACCTATGTGTGGGCATTGGGCCGTCTGAGGGGATATAAGAAGCATTTGTCAAATATTGCTGCAGCCTTCGTGGTTGTCACCAGCACCGTGCTGGGTGGGCAGTGAGTGATGAGGTGAAAGCAGCGGAGAGACGGAAGGCACTTGGTGGCACACCTCGGAGCCAGCTCCGCCTGGTGACAGATTAATCAGTGCTTCCCCATGAGCCCAGCTGCCAGTGTCCCCGGAGGATGGGCACGCACATCCCCTTGCCCTGCGGAGCAAGGCTTCCTTGGCCAGAGCGCCCAGGCCGAGGGGTCAGGGGTCATTGCCAAGGACGCAGCGCAGGGGAGCCAGCACACACGCTTTCCCCTCTGCCACCGGTTGACCCTGGCCCAGGTATCCATTGCTTAGACTCCTCTGGAGGAGAGGGGCGAGTTGCCAAAGGCTTGAAGGAGTGCCAAGCGCCAAGCAAAGGCTTGGAAGAGACCTTGAAAAATGCCACAGATGTTCCCCAGGGGACTCGGTTGGTGTGACAGCAGTGGCCCATGTAGCCTGGGTCGGGAGCTGGCTGTGCCCACCATGTGCTGTGTGACCTCGCTTCTCCTCCAGTGAGACCATGTGACCCTCAAGACCTGAGAGTCCCCTCCATCTCTCCTCTCCCCCGTGGGGAGATACCCCCCTCATGGTTATTACACTTTTCTGCTTCCCCACCTGCTTCCCGACACTCAGAGCCCGCCTCCTTCTGTGCAATGCAGCCCAGGAGTCAAAGGCTCCGGCTTGAGTCAGGTGCATGGGGTTTGGATTCAGTTAAGATAAACGGGCACCCTAAAAGTGCCCACCTCCTGGGTGGTGAGGACACGGGCGCCTAGAGATGCCCAGCAAGAGGCTGGCACGTAGAAAGCCTGGTGAGTAGGAGCTCCAGGAACCCCTGGCAGTGCATTCAGAGCAGCTACTCTGATGGCTCAGTGCTTCCCCTCCACGTTTCCCTCTGTTGTATTCAAATCAGGCAACAATGGGCCGCCCGTCTGGGAGGGGCCGAGGGTAGTCCCTTAGATGCTGGCGGCCAGGCCACTGGAAGGGCAGAAACCTCCTTGGCTGGACATCTGGACCATGGACAGGGATCTGAGTGACGAGGACAGTAAGTACAGCCGGGCGGGCGTGGGCGCACACCTCTGTAATGGGCACCGAGCCCCAGTGCTGCCCTGCGGAGGGCATCCTTCCCGCCTCCCCTCCAACCCCCTTCCTCCTGTGTGCAGAGTCCACTCCCAGCCTGCAGGCTGGTGTCCGCCAGGGCCCCGGGCGGTGAAGGATGTAAAATCCAAGAGAACTTTTCTCCCTAATGACTTAATGCATCCCCATCTTACAGTCTTACCTTCCTGTCTCTGTCGACAGTCCCCCTCCTCCAGAGCCAAATGTAAGTGGGACTGTCAGGAGTCTTATTTCAGTCACAGCGGGGCTCAGCTCTTAGATGAGGTTAATTTAAAAGTGTCACGAAAGATCTTTACTCATGGACTCCCTCACCTCCGGAAACAGCCTGGGTGACCCTTTCCTGTCATTACTGGGACCGAAATACGGTGGAACAGAAAGACTATTTAAAGAGACGAGCAAAAAAAATAAAAAAAGGATTTTAGAAAAAAAATGTGCTATGTTTAAAAATTTTTTTTATCCTGAATTGGAATGAGGAATGCTGTTCAGTATCAGATTGGGAACTCGGAGGCTAGGGTTCAATCCTGACTCTGCCGTGAACTGGCCGTGTGGTCGTGGGCCAGTCATTTAAACTCTGAGCCGCAGTTTTCTCGCCCACGAAGGGAGGTTGGGTGAGGAGCTCTTCATTTGAAGACATGAAGGGGTGGGAAAATGGTGTGGGAAAATTCAGGCTTCATCTGAATCCCAGCGAGACCTGGGACACTGGTCCGTTTTCACAGTTACTGAACTCGGGGACCTCAGAGGTCCTCGAGGGTCCGGCGCTCTCTGTTTTCTCTGTTGTTCTCTCAAAGCCTAAGCTTCAGAGCCGAAGTGCAATATAAAATAAACACAGGCTATTCTTAGAGCTCATGTGAATGTTTCATCTTGCAGTGGAAGCTGTACGGAGATATTTTAGCATGTGTTTGAGGAGGACCTAATCTGACATGTTGGAAATTGTGTGTTTTTAGCCTTATTTTAATAAGCTCCCACTGACATTCAAATGCAGTCTTTCCTCGTCAAAATGCTGCTCATTAGCAGTCTTTCCATTTATATGGGGAGTTTCTCTTAGCAGAAATGGGCCAAGTCAGACCTCAATTCCAATGCAAGCTGCCATTTGTGCTGGGAGATTTTGTTTCAGTCACTTAATCGCTATGGTGTCATCTTGCAGATTTAATCAAGGATTAATTGGCTGTACAGTGCCTAGACCATCACTCAGTCTAGAGCAGGCATGAAGTAAATATTGACTCTAGAAAATTATCAGATTTTACCCTCCAGAGCTTTAAAATTAAACTGTCATTAAGAGGAGATATTATCACCTGTGATGTTTCTGTTTTGGTGTCACCCTTTTAGTAAGCAAGGTGAGGGTAAGGCCAACGTTTTATCTCCCTTAACATTCCAAACTGTACGATGGATTCCATTCTGTCATGGGGTCGGATTTCTAACCCACTCAAAGCTCAGGGCAGCACTGAGGGCCTACTGCAAGGCATGGGGCTGCCCAGAAAACGCTTTAGAGACTGAGTTGAGGCACTCTGGAACTAAGTAAAATTTTCTCCAGGTTTCAGACTTACTGATTACTGTAGGACTGCCACAATTTAAATGTCCCGTCTCAGGAGAAAAATGGCTGCCCACTTTGTCCAATAGCCTTGCCCAGTTACTGAGTTTTTGAGTCTGTAGTGTGGGCAGCTTCAGCAAGAGAATATCCTCCTCCGATGACACACTTTGGGCCAAACGTAGCACAGACGGAGACATTCTGGGATGTGGCACCCACATGGACGCCACTTTGAAGGCTGTTTAGCACCTCTACTATGGGATACTGAGATGTCTTCCGACAGCATCGCCAGCTGGAGGGAGCATCCCCCTCCCCACCCCCACTGACGGGAGCTCCTTCGGTGGTGGGCAGCTGCCTCTCCTACCCTGTTAAAACTTTTCTTACATTGAGTTAATATCTCTTTCCCTGGAGCTTCTACTCTTTGGTTTTTATTCTGCCCCCAAAGCTCCTCAGAACCTGTCCATCTTGTGTTTAAAACAAGAACTCTTCAGAGTCTTTTCTTCTCCTATTTCTTCAATGATCTCAGACATAATATGTTTTTAATCATTCTTCTCTTAAAGGGAAATGTCCTCGCTCAGAACTGAAGAGGAAATATCTCCTCCCTTATCCTAAAAACCCTATCTTTTGTAATGTAACTTCTTTGATTGCAGACTGACTGACACCCCTCCCAGAAATGGGAGGTCAGAGCCTCTTTAAGTACGATGGACTCTTAACGGCAGCCCCTGGTAACCTGAGGGGGATGCTGCCCTGTCCAGGAGTATAGGACCTCAGCGGCACCTCCTCACTCCTGGGAGGTGGGGGCAATGATCTGAGGCCACAAAACTGTTGCCATTAGTGACTCAGCACTGAAGAGATGGGACTGGCATCTGGACCAGCCCCAGTCCTCAAAGGTTTGTTCACAGAGTATCCCTTGCCTTGCTCTGAGTTGAAGATCGGAGATTGGATTTGAAGCTGTCACGATCCCTGGGTGGGAAGGGATGCTGGACTTCTGGGCAGGGGCCCAGCGGCCAAGAGCCTTGGTCACTGACCCTGGGCCTTGGCATTTCCCACACATCCCTTAGGATGGAGGCACAGCCACCAGGCATGCAGGCCCTCTCTGCCAGGCTGGCCCTGGCCTCTCGGGGCCCCTCCGGTCTTTCCTGAGGGCTGCCTTATCTTTGGAAAGTGATTGTGGGTCTGGAAACTACTAGTGGAAAGATACTGTCCCCTTTGGGGAGTAAGAAATTATCCCTTTAATGATGTCATCATAGCTTAGAGGGGAGCCCAAGAACTCTCTCAAATTTGTTTGCAGATCTCTCTTGTCCACTGCACTGTGACCCTCCTCCCCGAGCCCTGGTTTAGGGAAAGGTATCAAGGCCCTAAAAGCGAGTGAAGTGATTTTCCCTGTAAGACTGTACGGCAGGCTAGCTGCTTTCCTGTGCTCATGGATGGGGCAACAAGGATGAATAAAACACTGTTCTACCTTCAAGGTGTTCAAAGCTAGTAGGGGAGGCAGACCCCAAGCAGGTATTTTACAAGTAACCTATCTATATATATAAAGCAAGTGGCCCTCATGCCATCGCACCTTAACGACCAAACAGCGGTTGGATGGGGCAGCGAGCTACGAGCATCAGAGGGTGATGAGCTTATGAGTGGCGAAGGGCTACCAGTGGTGGAGGGCAGGACACAATCTACAAGTGGTGATGGGTGGGGCAGCCAGCTGAGCTACTCATGAAGAGCTTTGTGCACAAGGCCCCTAGTCTATACTAATAAAAGGGTAACATGCTAATTAGACCCGTAGACATTCTGGATGTTCTTCTGGACAAAGCCATGGTGGTGGGGCCAAGGCAGAGGTGGTTAGGGATGATCAGGCCAGCAGGGAAGGGCAGTTGGGGAAGAGCAGGCCAGCAGGGGGACAGTTGGGGGCAAGCAGGCCAGCAAGGGGGGGGGGGCAGTTGGGAGCAATCAGTTTGGCAGGGGCGGGCAGTTAGGGGTGATCAGGCTGGCAGGGGTGGCAGTTGCGGTGGATCAGGCTGGATCCCTGTGGGTTGAACCTAAAATGGCAATCGGACATCCCCCAAGGGGTCCCAGATTGAGAGGGTGCAGGGGGCTGAGGGACAACTGCAACCCCCCTCATTCTCCTCCTCCCCCCTCACACATATGAATTGACCAGCTGCAGTGGCAAGGAGCTGAGGGAGTAAAAGAAGGAGGAGGTGGGGAGGTGGGGAGGCAGGGAGGCGGGGAGCCTTTTTGGCCCTGATCACTGGCCAGGCCTAGGGACCCTACCTGTGCACAAATTTCATGCACCGGGCCTCTGGTAATTCTTACAAAGCCATTCAGCACAAGCATTGATAGGGAGTGGATTCTCTTGAAGGCAGTGGAGTTCTGAGATCACAGAGCAGGAGAACCCCACCCAGCCGGCTTTGCAGGAGGGGAGATCTGGGCTGACTCCGGCTTAACCAGGTGATGGGATGTCATGGGCAGAAGCAGCCAGAGTAAGGGCTGGGAGAAATGGCACAGTGTATGTGTGAAGATGAATGCAAGCCTCAGTGTCGTGAAGTGACAGGCCCCCTCTAGAAGGAACAGGCAGCTCTTAGAAAGCCCGGCCCTCACAAGGGCCTCTCTGGGCGTGATGGCACCTTCCACAGAGTATGGGTTTTCCCTCCCACTTAGTGGAGCTGTGTGGTGGCGTTTGCTGCATTCTTCCCTGGCACAGAGGGGCCACTAACTCCAGGGCAACTCCTTCCAGGTCTTCTTCCCTCATTTCTCTTGATGTCGGTCTCACTCACATTATATTTTTCTCAATGTTCCCCACCCCAAAGCTCCTACACTTCTCTCTCAAGTCTCAAGCAGGCTTGTCTCTCTCACTCCCCCTTTCTGTTCTGTTCTGCATTCCTCTGCCCTCCCTCTCCTCAGGGAGCTGTCTTCCCTCCTCTCACCCTGCTCTGGACAGCATGGGAAGAGTTTCTCATCATCATGTGAGCAGAGGGAACCTTTTCTCCCCACACATAATGCAGGGCCTCATCTGACAGGTTCAGGAGCCTGGACAGCAGCTGCGGGGAGAAGTGAGCTGCTGCAGTGTGTAAGAGAGGTCTTGCTCTGGTCTTGCTCTGAAGGCCTTTAATTAGTGTAACCGATTATTTGTGTGTTTGTTCTTTTTTTAAAAGAATAGTTTATTGATTTTCAGAGTGGAAGGGAGGGAGAGAGAAAAATGTCAATGTGAAAGTGCAACATGGATCAGCTGCCTCCTGCACGCCCCCTGCCAGGAATGGAGCCCACAACCCGGGCATGTGCCCTGACCAGGAATCAAACCAGCAACCTCCTGGTGCATGGGATGACACCCAACCAACTGAGCCATACTGGCCAGGACTGCTTGTTTTTTTAGACAAAACAGGACTTCATTCTTTTTCTTTATTTTTTTAATG